ATTCCTTGTGGCCCTGCCTGCAATGGAACAATACTCTTCACACCTTCACGTCCCCCCACATCCACTGCACAGACCCCAACAGGTGCTATGAATTGGCCTAGTCTGGCCCTCTCCCAGATCTGACCCACACGTATGCCAGCGGTTATTGTAACCTAGCTTGGTTTAGTTGTGATAACTTAGCCTAGCCCAAGCAGGGCCCACATCTCATCCTGGCTCCCATGCATGTATGCATCGCACTGGGCCCCTAAGACATTTATGACTGGGGCTGACACCATGCTGTAGTAGACTAATCCTCTGTCTTGTGACACTGGCATCCCACATGGGCACCAGTTCAAGTGCTAGTTGCCCTGCGTCCAACCCAGGTTCCTGCTTATGGCCTCAGAAAGCAGTGGGGGATGACTCAGTTCCTTGGGTCATTGCACCCACGTGGGAGATGCAGAGACCCCCACAGAAAGAGAAGGTAAGAACAACAGCGTTTTTTAAAGAAAAGCTGGAACCATGGCAGTCAGCAAGGAGCTCTTACAGATGGACACGCACGCACTACTAGGCACTGAGGAGAAGGCTACGCACGAAGAGGTTAAGAAGGCCTACTGGCAGAAGACTCCCTCCTGCATCCAGATGAAAATCCCGACAATCCTGAAGCAGCCCAACTCTTCCACCAGTTTTGCCAGGCCTTGGCAATACTGACCTATGCCACAGCCAGGGTTGCCTATGACAAGGTCAGGACAGCCCGAAGCAGGCAGCTGAGAGGACCCAGAAACTTGATGAGAAAAGAAGAAAAATGAAGCTCAACCCAGAGACGTGGAAGAAGTGGCATGTACAGAAATAGGCCAAGAGCCACAGCACCAGGACGTTCGAGCAAGAGATTGAACGCTGGAGACTGAATACCTCCCAACAGCCGCAAGAGCAGCGGAGGCTGATCCAAGAACCGGAGCAGAGGCTGAGAGGAAAGGCCAAAGATGCTGAAGCCCAAGGAACCCCCAGACTCAAGCTGAAATGGGAGTGCCCCCCACGGCGGCTACTCCAGGGACGTTCTCCTGCTGTACGCACCGTACCTGGTGCTAGCCAGTAAGAGACCAGGCCTTGCTGTGGTAGAGTTTGTGACTGTCAAGGCCACATAGCTGGCTGTGCAGAATGAAGTGGGCGTGGTTGATAATCCATTGACGATCTCCTGGTTGGAGGGACAGTCCCAGGATGCCATGGGCTCTGGCTACCCGGGACTGCCAAAGGGCTCGGTGCCGTCAGAAAGGGAGAGGGGAGCCTGGGCCTGCTGCACGTGCGTCAGGCTGCAGAGCGGCGGCAGCTGATTGCCCAGATGCAGCGCGAGCACATGGAAGGCTCAGCCACATAGCTTCTGTCCAGGACCCCCAACACATAGCCCTTTTCGGAAGTCCCTGCAATAAACTTCTGCTTATAATAATAATGGTAATTAATAATAATAAAAGGCATGCATTAACTTTCAACAGGAAAGACATGTTCCTTGAGAGTATAATTTTAGCTTAGTTTTTTGACCTGCTGCCATTAATATAGGACTTCAGAGACCAAAACCTTTGGGGCACCCAAACTAATATCCAGATGACAGCATGCTGCTCACAGACCCACTGGGAAATGCATAAACTGAGGTGGCTCCAGAGCCAGACTGAAGCTACCCAAAGGCCCCAAGCTCATGGCGAAGCCTGCATGTCAGCACACCTCACTCCTAGCCAAGCCCCTCCCACCAGGGACTTGGCTACAGCCAACAGGAGCACGTGATAAAGTGCTGCTGATCAATGTCGCTTTCACTCTCAGTGAAGGTGCGAGGCTGCACCTCACTTTCCAAGTCAGAGAAGTTTCCAAGAAAGAAAGCAGTGTCACCAAAAGAAAACATAAACACCAGCTTCTTTTACATTATAACTGCTACTGGACTCGTGCACTCCTTGGAAGTGGAGTGCTATTTACATGACATGACTTCATTTTTTCCGTATCTTTCCCCGTCCACCCTGCCCCCTCACCCCTGAAACAGGGAGAATCGGAATACGGAAACTATGATCACATCCATTTTCCCTAACCATTCCACTCTGGCCAACTGTGTTAACACCATCTAAAATTAAAAATAAATTTCAAATAAATTTTAAAAAATGATTGTTCCTTTTATTAATGTATACTGAGAGACTAACAGTATAAGATAGCAAGTTTCCATGTAGTGTTTTAGTCCCCAGATGCCTGCAATGGCAGCTGGGAGCTCAATCTAGGGGTCTCACGTGGGTCAGAGGGAGGAATACAAGTACTTGAGCCATCACGCTGTTTTGCAGGATCTGTACTAGCAGGAAACCTGAACCCAGATTAGGAGATGGGCATCAGAGCCAGGCCCTGGGGTGCACTGTGGCCCAATCAGCAGCCTAATCACCAGGCCACATGCTTGCCCCTCTATACGTTTCTTCAAATACTCTTTGTTGCTGTATTTAGAGCTAATTCTCTTTCTTCCCCCCACCCCTTTTTTTAAAATTTACTATCTTTTGAGTACTTATCAAAAAATTTTTAAAAAGACTTATTTATTTTTACTGGAAAGGCACATATACAGAAAGAAGGAGCGACAGAGGAAAAGATCTTCTATCCACGGGTTCACACCCCAAGCGGTCACAGTGGCCACAAAGGCTGGAGCTGACCTGAAGCCAGGAGGCAGGAACTTCTTCTTCTTTTTTAAAAAAGATCCATTTTATTTTCATTACAAAGTCAGATATAAGAGAAGAGGAGAGACAGAGAGGAAAATCTTCCATCGGATAATTTACTCCCCAGTGCTTTCAATGTGACCATAATGGCTGGTGCTGCGCTGACCTGAAGCCAGGAGCCAGGAACCTCCTCCAGGTCTCCCATGCAGGTACAGGGTCCCAAGGCTTTGGGCTGTCCTCAACTGCTTTTCCAGGTCACAAGCAGGGAGCTGGATGGGAAGTAGAGCTGCTAGGGTTAGAACCGGCGTCCATATGGGATCCTGGGAGCATTTAAGGCAAGGACCTTAGCTGCTAGGCCACAGCACCGGGCCCAAGGTAGGAGCTTCTTCTGGGTCTCCCATATGGGTGCAGGGTCCCAAGACTTTGGGCTGTCCTCCACTGCTTTCCCAGACCACAAGTAGGGAGTTGGAAGAGAAGTATAGCAGCCAAGATATGAACCGGCAGCGCCTATATGGGATCCTTGTATGTGCAAGGCAAGGATTTTAGTCACTAGGGTACCATGCTGGGCCCCCAAAAATTGTTTTTTAAATATTTATTTATTTATTGGATAGGCAGGGAGATTTACAGAGGAGAGATAGAAAAATCTTTGTCTGCTGGTTCACTCCCCAAGTGGCCACAATGGCCTGAGTCGAATCAATCCAAAGCCAGGAGTTTCTTCTAGGTCTCCCATGCAGGTGAAGGGTCCCAAGGCTTTGGGGGCATCCTGCACTGCTTTCCCAGGCCATAAGCAGGGAGCTGATTGGGGAGTGAAGCAGTGGGGACACAAACTGACTTCCACAGTGGATGCCAGTGCTTTCAATGTGAAGACTCAGCCATTTAGCTATTGCACTGGGCCCACACATTTTACAATACTAACCATGTAACAGACTGTATAAATAGTCTATATCTACTGAGAAACCCAATTTAATCCTGAGTAAGTGACTCAGAGTAAGAATGAAAACCAGCAGCATCCCTTTTAATTTTCTCAAACAAACAAAAAATGAAGAGAACATCAAAAGTGTGAGAGATTGTCTAAAAAGAGTAGCTTTGGGTCAGCTTACCAGGTTGACCAAGGACAGTCTGTAGGACATCCTGCTTGCCACTTAGATGCAAGAAGAAAGGAAAACATTAATTTTCCACAGAGTTCTAGCAAATCGGCAACTGTGGAGTCCAAGATGACTGCTCCCTTCCTTTATGCCTGAAAAAATTACGCAGTGAGGGGGTCCGTGCCTTAAGTATCTCCAAAGATTAAGTTGAAGGATTTGGGAGCAGGAGAGGCAGGGACCAGGAAAGGCAGGGACCAGGAAAGGCAGGAAGAATGGTTTAAGTAAATCAGGGACTATCCTGCTGAACCTGGCAGGGGGAAGAGTCTCAACAGCGGAGCTCGCTTTCATCCACTTCCCCTCCAGGAATTTTGTGTTATTGAGGTTTACTTGCTTGAATTCTTTTAAATCGTTCACACCTGGTGGTTGTATTCCTCGGCACGAAAGCAAAAGTTAAATCTTTTGGTATGTTTAAAACACTTCAAAGCATAGCACTTCTCCCATACTGACCTGGCTAATGTGTAAACATGCTTATTTCGGGGCCCCACTCTTGCGAGACCCCGAGTCTGAAGGTTTTCATCGGGGTGGAAACATGTTTTCGATCCGCTCCCAAATTGACTGTGACAACCGGTGCCCGAAGGCCATCCTTGAAGAAATCCTGGGCCGACTGCACTTTGGGCGTTTTGTATTTCTCCAGCAGTAACTTTAACCATCCAAGGGGGCAAAGGCGACGCGAGGAGCAGCCCCCTGCGCCATGCGGCTAAACCTTCCCCTCAGCTGACACATCTGTCTCCGGGGAGGAAAGAAAGTTTATTTTCACCGGGACGTTGTGTCCAAGTCCATGAGGAAGATCCTCCCACAAAGTCACCGAGTCTCCCGCTCGCCGCCCTCTCGGGGCCGCGGGGGACCGGGGTTCGCTTCCCGCCCTCCGAGCTCCGCCTCCCGCGCGCCCTGACGGGGTCGGCCGCGTCCGGCCTCAGGCGCCCGGGGAGCCGCGGCTCTTGGCGCCAACCGGATGGCGGCGCTGTGGGCTCGGCGTGCGGGCGCCTCGGGCCCGAGGGAGGCGGAGGAAGGGGAGGGAGCGAGGCGCGCGCTGTGCTCTCGCGTGCTCTCGCGCCGCTCGCGTGACCGGCCGGGGTGTGTGTGTGTGTGTGTGCGCGCGGGCGCGAGGCGCCGGCTCCCCGGGGCAGCGAGGGCCGGGCGCGCGCGGCCGCTGCGTGGGGCGTCCGGGTCGGCGGGCCCCCCTGCCCGGCCGAGGCGGGGCGTGAAGGGCGTGCGTGTGTGTGTGTGTGTGTGTGTGTGTGTGTGCGCGCGCGCGCAGCTCCCGGGCCGACACCCGCGCCTACGCTCCCGCAGCAGCCGGAGCTGCTCTTCCTCGGCCCGACGGAGAGCGGCAGTGTCTCCCCGCCCAGTGCACGCTCGGCCCGCGTCTCTTTTCCCCCCTCGGCGGCGGCGGCGGCGGCGGCGGCTCCTCCTCGGCACCGCCAGCCCCAGCGCCGCTCCGGGGCGGGCGGCGGGCGGCGGCGGGACCCGCGGAGCCGCTTTGTGTGCAGCCCGACGAGGGGCGGCGGCGCAACCACCTGACAGAGGCCCGGGCGCTCGATGCACCTTCCGCCCGCATGAAGAGGAGGTAAAGGCGGCGGCGGCTCGGCTCCCGCCCTCGGCTGGTGGAGGGGAGGGGACGGAAGGGGAGAGCCGAGCGGTGGCGGCGGTGGTGGTGCTGGTGTGGGGTTCGGAGGTGGAAGTGGAGGGGGAACGGCGGGTCCGAGGCCCGGCCCGGCTCGCCGCCGGGAGGTTGCCGGGAAGGCCTCGGCGGGGCCGGGAGGGGCCGGGGGGGCGCGCAGGAAGCCGCCGGCGTCCACCAGCCGAAGTTGGAAGGAACAAAATGTGAAGTGCGGGAGCCGCGTCAGCCGCTTCCTGGCGTGGGGTTGCGGGTGGAGGGTTGCTGTTTTCTCCACCCGCGGCGGTGGGGGAGCGGGACGGAGGAGGGGCCGGAGCCGGTGGGGGACCGCCGGCAGGGCAGGGGTGGGGGGCGCCCGGCTCGCCCGGGAAAAAAGGCATTTTGTTCCCCGGGAGCCGCGGCTGCGTGCCGGCCCGGCGGGGTCCCTAGTTTTGCGGCCTAAGCCGAGCCCTCTAGGCCTCACGTAACCTCTCCCCGGAGTGGACCGGCCAGGCGGGGACGGGGCGCTGCTCTGCGGCCGAGCCCAGGGCCTTGGGGTCCTCGGCGGCCCCTCCCGAGGCCGCCAAACTTGGGGCCTTGCAGCTCCGGGAGTGGATTTCATTGTGAAAGGCGGAATGGGAAACTCCTTGGCGCTGCTCCGGCGCCTCCCGCGGCCGCGGCGGCTGCTGCTGCCCGGGGAGCCCCGTGGGCCCCGGGGCTGGCGGCGCCGGCGCGGGGTGGGGGTGGGGAGGGACGGCGGGCGCTCGGCTGGGATCCCCCCAGAACCGGGAGGAAGCGAACGGCTGAGTGGGGGGGGGACCGTGGCCGGGTGCCTGGCCTGCCGGGGGGAGCAAGGGCCCTCTCCCGAGGAGAGATTTTTTTTTTTTTTGGAAATGAAAAAAGAGGTTACAAAGTCGCCCCTTTCGCGCTGAACTTTGGTTTTCTGACCGATAGAGGCCGGTAGAGGACTGTGAAAGAAAAGTTGTCCCCCAGGATGGACTACACGGCGCAGCCCAAGCCTGCCACTGCCCTCTGCGGCGTCGTGAGCGCCGATGGGAAGATCGCCTACCCACCGGGGGTGAAGGAGATCACCGACAAGATCACCACCGACGAGATGATCAAACGGCTCAAGGTAGGCGTTTCGGCTGGAGCGTCCGCCTCGGTGACACACGCTTGGCTCTTAGCGTCACCTTCCAAGGTGTCGGAGGTCTGGTGGTGTCTTCTGCCTTGCCACCCTCTGGTATTGTTCCGTCTTGGCTTGTAGTTCCACGGGGATATAACACTGTGGGAAAAGGAGTGTATGTGTATCCGTTTTCCAAGTAAAAGAATACTCTTCACAGTGGCTTGCAACCTTACATGTAAGCGGTAAATGGCTTAAGGAGGTTCCTGTTTCCGTGAGCTTTTGCTCAGAAGGCATTAAAAAAAACTGCCATGATTTTTTCATGTCCCAGAACTTACATATGTATAGCCTGAGGTACTGACTTAAATGCAGGGTTGAAGTGAGGTGATGATTTGAATTGGTATATTCTGAGCAGTTTAAAAAGTGTCCTGGCTCTTTTTAAGCATTTTTGGTTGTCTATTGGCGAGTACTTCTGTTGGTTGGTCCACTCTGAAGACTGGCAGTGACCAGCTGCCAGCCCCAGGAGCCCTGCTGAGTTAGTGCTGTTGTGCGCAGGGTCAGTGTGAAGCAGTTGTTCTCAATCAGGATGTCTAGCAGGGCTGTAGAATTCTTGGTTGTCACCTAGTTGCGAGTCCATCCAGGGAGCCAGTTGTGAGTTCATCTGGGGGAAGGGTGTTGAACTGCTGAAGGCAGGTGTTGGAAGAGGGAGGGACAGTGTTTAAGGAGCCTGTGCAGAGTTGGAATCAGCCAAGAAGAAACGCTGTTGACAATGCTTTGACCTTGGGCGCTTGGTTCAAATGTGTTCTCCTGGAGTGATATTTTCCCTGTATTCCTGGAGCTTAGCGTCCACCTCTGCTAATGGTACAGCCCGTTCTGTCTTCTGCAGTTTCCAAGATTAAACTGGATTCTGTGCACTGTTGCCTGTTTGAAAGGAGTAAGATGTAATTTCTTTCATTAAAACATTAGCACTAAACATTATCCATGAATTGAGGTATCTAATTGCTACTTCTCAGAGTGTTTTAGCAATCTGAAAATATGAAATATGCAGATGTTTAAAATTTATGAATTTTTAATGCGTTTAGGAACTTTGGACAACAAATTATTTATTGGAAAGGTTGAGAGGGAGCTTTCATTCATTGATGAACTCCCCAAATAGCTTTACCCTGCAGGGCTCCAGCTTGCCACAGCCTTGAGATGAGGAGCTACTTCTGCGTTTCCCATGTGGGTACAAGGGTCTAAGCACTTGGGTCGTTCTCTACTGCTTTTCTGAGCGTGTTATATCAGTAGGGAGCTGGATCGGAAGTGGAGCAAGTGGGACTTGAACTTGGCACGCATGGTAGGATGCCGGCCTGGTAGTCAGTGGCTTAACACATTATGCTATTAACTTCTGCTTCCAAATCTTTAAAGCTTATTAAATTTCTGAATTAAGGACATTGAAAGTATATGTGTGTGTGTTTTAAAGGTATATTTTTGTTTGAAAGGCAAACTTAAAGGAAAGTAGAGACAGATGTCTTCCATCCACTGCTTCACTCCCCAGTGGCTGCCATAGCTGGGGCAGGACCCTTGAAACTCCATCACGGTCTCCCGTGTGGGTGGCAGGAGTCCCAAGTCCTTGGACTGTCATGTGCTGCTTTTCCAAGCATGTTAGGAAGCTGGAGAAAAGTGGAACAGCGAGGACAGTGATATAGGATGCTGTGGCTTAACTGGCTCTGCCACACAGCTGTCCCTGAAAGCTTGAATTTTGTTAGAAAAATGGAAAGTTACTGCATTTCTATTTCATAATTGACTGTCAAAAGTGCTGTTAAGTGTAAGTGGATATATAACCCCATTTCAGTACAGGATGCTGGATTTGTGATGCCTGCCTTGTGGGCGCTGTAATGCAGGTCCCCAAAAGACAACCATGGAAGGGGAGAGCTAGCAGGGCCCCCTAGGTGGATAGGGAAGCTGATTTGGAAGGCAGAAGTACGACTTGATCCCAGGCTGTCAGATGTGGTGGAACGTGGGTGTCCCAAGTGGTGGCGTACCCCACTGTGCCACAAAACCCCATGTGAGGAATATTTATTTTGAAAATGAAGGAAAAAGATTTGAATGGCATTTAAGCACTTTCTCTGAGATTGAATCCCAGAAATAATAATGTAGATACTAAAAATTTCATAGCTTAAAAGATACTGTAAAGGTTATTTGGTTGTCTGACTTTCTGGATGAGGAAACTAACTCTGTGAGAGATTATGAATATCCGTAATCATATAAAGCTGAGAACCATCGTTAACTTCTGTGAGTCAGGTATCACAGCTCACCCTACTAAAGTTAGTCAGCTGATCTGAAAGATAGGGAGCAGTTTGGGCCATTGTTATATTAAGCCCCACAAGCCGTTCTTTCCTGTGGTAGTGGGTTCTGAAACTGCTGTAGGAGTCACATCTGCTAAGTTTAAGTAGAGCTCCCATCTGGTTCATTGTGAGGCTGAAGGTAAGAGCCCAGAACTCGATTGGGGAGGCAGGAATCCAATTAATCGAGCTGGTATACTGCCTCCTAGACTTGCATTATTATTTAGTTGGAATCAGGAGCTAGGAACCTGATGCTCTGTGGGATATAAGTTGTTGTTGTTTTTTTTTTTAATCATTTATTTGAAAGGCAGAAAGAGAGAGATTGATCTTCCATCCATTGGTTCATTTCTCAAATGGCCAAGTGGCCAGGGCAGGGCCAGCAAAACTGAGGAGGCGGTAGCTTCTTTCAGGTCTCCCACATAGGTTCAGGGATCCAAGCACCTGGAACATCTTCTGCTTTTCTAGGTGCATTAGTGGGGAACTGAATTGAGAGCAGAGCAGCTGGGACTCTTAACTGGTGCCCAGGGGATACTGTGTCACCAGTGGTGACTTGACTTGCTATACTGTAATGCTAGCCCTATGAATATGATTAGTTTAATAAACACTAGGCCAAATGCCATCCCTTAAAGTTATCTTATTTCAGAGAGACAGAACTCCTACCCACTAGTTTACTTCCCAAGAACCTACACGATAGAGGAGGCCAAAACTGGGGCTGGGTAATGGGAACCTGTACTTGACCCAGCACCACTGGCTTTCAGGGTGTGCCTTAGCAGGGAGCTGGAACAAGGGATTGAAACCAGGAAAGCAGATGTCTTACTGGTGTCATAACTGATAGCAAGATGCTCCATAAACAAACTTCATGGAAAGTTTTTTTTTTTTGTGATGAAATGCATATAATAGTTTATCTATCTATCTGTTTGTTTATTGAAAGAGTTACAGAGAGGAGAGAAAAAAGAATGTTGCATCTGCTGGTTCACTCCCCAAATGTCCACAACGGTCGGAAATGAGCTGGATCAGGAGCCAGGAGCTTCCTCTGGGTCTTCCACACAGGTGCAGGATCCCATTGCTTTGGGCTATCCTCCACTTCCCAGGCCGTAAGCAGGCAGCTGAATGGCAAGTGGAGCAGTCGGGCCTTGAACTGATGCCATCAGTGCTGCAGACAGACGGTTAGTCTATGTCATAGAGCTGCCCTCTTCCTTTGCGCTTTTTTATCCTTTGAAAGATAAAGTTACCTTTGCCACATCAACTGTGAGAATGGAGACCATTTTTAGCAGTCAGATCATCGACATTGAAAGTCGACATCTGTCTGAAGAGGTGTGTGGTGATTGTGAAGCGGCCCAGAGGAACCCTGCGAAGGGACTGCAGTCAGGTCAGTGTAGAACTTGGCCTCCTGGGAAAGAGGCTCCAAGTTGACACATGGCAGAGAAATGCAGAGAACTGGCCAATTCTAGAATATGATTGAGGGAGTTGACGCTGGGCCTCTGTTACAAAATCAGTTCAGCATATATTCACTTTCCCATCAACATGGTTATCCAGAAGAACAGTGGGAATCTGGAATTTCTTGGATGAAAAGTACATTCTAAGGGTTCAGATGAGGCCAGGTGTTGCTTGTTCAGTATCTTAAGCCCAGAAAGCTTGATGAATCCTTGAAGGAAATGACATTGAACTTGTTTAAAATACAACTGCTTTGATTCAGCAGGCAACAGCAGTAAAAAATAAGAATATCAGGAAAGTTTTGGGTGGTGTCTGTCTGAAGGGACATTTCAGAAGGTTGATGAGTAAGATTTAAAAGTTTTTCAGCTATTGAAAAACCCTGACTTATATCTTGTAATGATGCAATAAAAGATCTGTTGGTTGGTAAAAAAGTAAAAGCCAAAACCACAAAGAGGGAGAGACAGACCCTTCAATCTGCAGGTTGACTGCCCAAGTGGCCCCAACTGCGGGTGCTTGGCCAGGATGAAGCCAGGAGCTGCTGCTGAGCCTGCTGTGGGTACAGGGGCCCGAGGACTTGGAGCCATCCTCTGTTGCTTTTCTAGGTGCATTAGCAGGGAGTTGAATCAGACATGGAGCAACCCAGCATTGCAGGCAGAGGCTTAATTCACCATGTGACAACAGCAGCCCCAAAATGTATCATTTCAGTTGTGTTTAGGTATACAGTTCTGTGGCACAGGGCTGTGCAGCTGTCACCTCGATCCACCTCTGTCTAGCACTTCATCTTCTATATCTGGAACTCTGAATCTATTACATAGCTCTTTCCAGCCTGCCTTTCCTTAGCTCTTAGTAATCACTATTGTGCTTTTCTGTCTCTGGATTTGTTCTCAAATAAGTGAAGTCGTATAATATTTGTCCTTTTGTGATCATATTTTAAAAGTTTAGAATAGTGTTTCATCTATGTCATATCATTTTTCAGAATTTTTAAGAATTCCTTATATAAAATTTTTTTTCCAATTTTAGTATATGTGTTGCCGAAGCAAGCATATACAATTTTTTTGTTTTTTTATTTCTTTTGTTTGCTATTTATATTTTCATTTTTAATTTAGTTTTATTAAAACAATTTTTAGCTGAGAATTTTATTTTTTATTTTTAAAAGACTGACCTGTTTTTATTGAAAAGGCAGTTACAGACAGAGGAGAAGCAGAGTTTCTATGCTGGTTCATTTTCCAAATGGCTGCAAGGGCCGTAACTAGG